CAGCTTGTGTCCACCACTCTTTTCTGCAGCCCATTGAGACCCTAATCCCGCCCTTCTCAGAGCATCATGGAAGGCCAGAGAGACAGACCTATCCCAACAAAACACATGGACCTTCTAGCCATGGCATCTGCATGATCAGGAACATGGCAGCCATGAACGATCCCTGGGATCCTCTTGTCTCTTCTAAAGAAAGATGTAAATGAAATGAGGGACGCACCCACATCCTGGGCATCAACACCCCTATTCTGCTTCACCCACTCAGTACCAGGATAGAGTCCCCTGTGGGCTCCAGGCATGGCCCTAACTGTACAGAGGATCATACTTATGACCAGACCAGCCTCACCCACAAGACACCTCAGAGATAGGAGTACCCCCACACCTCCCTAGAGTTGCTCTGACTCTTCAGAGCTCCCACTCCCCCTCCTCCGGTCCAGTGATGATGGTCAAGGCCAGTGGGAGCGGGGCTGCCAGAAGAAGGCCACATGGTCTGTAAGACACACAAAGCAGACACCTTAGAGGATAGATGACATAGGGTACAAGCAGGGGCTGCGTGGAAATGAATTCCGGAAGCTTGACTTTATTTGCACTTCCTGTGTGCCAGAACCTTTGCTGGGTCTCACCACGGCTTTCATCACATGATCCCCTGAGTCAGCCGCAGGGTGGGCATCGCCTCACCCAGCTCCCAGAAGAGCTTGAATGGCATCTGGTGAGAAGCTGAGACATGGCTCTGCCCCTAACCAACACCAGAGCCCTGCTCTGTCCCTCCCACTGGCACCCCTGTAAGGGGCTCTTGATGACCTCATTGGGTTGTCCCCAATATCACTCCTCTGTCTGTCTGTGAGAGCTTTAGTCTGTGGAGCCTCAGGTGCCCACATAAGCCATGGGCATCTCTAGCAGCTTCTCTCAGGGCGTCATTCGTGAGCCCCGTAAAAGGCAAGCTTGGATCTAAACTCCGTTTCTGTTGTGTCCATTTTATCAAGTTAAGGTGTCTAATTGAAGAAGAAATCACACTCTTCGGCCTGTGGGCTGTTGTTGGACAAAAGCCATATTTGTTGCTGAGCTGTTGGCCAAAGTAATAATAATTTCTTAAAATCACCCCAAAGGAGGGGCAGCACCAGGCCACCAAGGGAGTGGTGGGCGTGCGAAGGAATTCCCACTCGGATCCATCAGCACCAGAGCCTGGCGGAGACTCCATTCCAGACGTAGACTCCCAGGGCTGCCCGGAGCTGACGCCCAGCCTTGTTTTCTTTGTAAGCAGTGAGGTCTCAAAAAAAGTCCCGGGTAAACATTAGGGTCAGATGTCTTAGAGGGCCTATTGTCAAGCTCTGAAAACTGGTGGCAGCACCAGCACACAACCCCCTAGTTAGCCTACAGACTGCACTGCAGTTCATCATGCCTTCTCTTTCCAGAGAAGAGAATTTTGAGGATGAAATGAGCTCCCAAACAGAGACTCTTCCTTTAATTATCTGAAGTTCACATGAGGTGTGTCTTGTCCTGGTCATTATGAGGCATGTGCTGGCTGGTCAAGGGTAGGGGGTGGACTAGAATATTTTAAAGGTTTGGAGAGTCTACCTCCATCAAAGCTCATGGACAGGAGGCAGAAACCTAAGACTGAAATAACAATCCAGTAGCCTGGAGGTGAGGAGCTAAGTGCAGGAAGCAAGAAGTTGTCACCAGGCCCTCGCTGGTGTGGCCCCGCTGGTTGGGCATTGTCCGGGGCACCAAAGGGTTGCTAGTTCAATTCCTGGTCAGAGCAAGTGCCTGGCTCTATCCCTGGTGGGGGCCATGTAGGAGGCAACCATTTGGTGTTGTGCTCTCTCATCCATGTTTCTCTCTCTCCCTCTCCCTTCCTCTCTCTAAAAATCAATTTAAAAGAATAAGTTGTTGTGTAGCATTAAGGCAGCCAGGGGTGAGGGAGGGCTGTCAGGGAGCCTGAGAGAGGAGGATGCCCTGGGCTCCAGCTGTACCTTGGGGAGGGGGAGAGGGAGGGAGTACTGTGTGGAGCAGCATTGGTCTGTTCATGTCTGATACCTACAGAGAAGGGATGAGGGAGGCCCTACTTCCTGGTCTCTCCGCAAACAAGAGACAAGTCCTGCCTTCCACCAGCCCACAAAGGCACCTGCTGTGCTGCTTTCCTGTCTGCATTCATGCTGCCCTTCAGCTCAGAATGCCAAGCACCACCCTCATGTTAGGCAAAGCCCAGGCATCTCACCCTCATCCTCAGGCAGCCTTCAAACTAGCTCCAGGCCCTTCCCATGTACCCTGAGCCATAAGCTGCTCCTCAGGGAGTCCTTAGCACCTTTGACTTACACTTACCACTGCATTATGGGTAGTCTGTCGACTAAGCTTCTGTCCATTCTGTTGGGAGCATCTGATGGGCAGGCATCAACTCCTATATATGCCTGTTGCTGGGTCCATATGAGGTAGACTCTCCGTCATGCTTGTGGAATGGATGAATGGATGAATGGGTGAACAGATAAATGGATGAACAAATGAATGAGCAATGAGCAGTGGCTGGAGAGCTGGCCCCAGCAGCTCAGAAGGAAAGAGACTGTGGCCTTTGACTTATATGCTTTTATGAGCACCCCTGTCATATCCCGAAAGTCTGATTGTGAACCTCTGAATAAAAAGAAAATAAAGATGCACAAACCCCTGTGTAAAGTTGTAATTGGCTTAATAAATGACTCAGAGTGAAAACCAGCCTGGTGTCTCACAGGGACAGTGGGAATGCCACATTAAACACGAGTGCGCCCCAGGATTTGGTTTACAAACTGGCCGTGTCCCAAGGAAGGGCCTCTTCTTGTTCGCTCCCCACAGGCTGTGTGGGTGGCTCACACAAATCCTCCTGCAGTCACCCTCACTGTGGCTTATGGATGTGACGATACAAGAAGGACTGAGGAGTGTTCATCAGGGACGGAAAACACCCCTTTCTCTAAACCAGCGGTTCTCAACCTGTGGGTCGCGACCCCTTTGGCGGTTGAACGACCCTTTCACAGGGGTCGCCTAAGACCATCCTGCACATCAGATATTTACATGACGATTCATAACAATAGCAACATTACAGTTATGAAGTAGCAACGAAAATAATTTTATGATTGGGTCACAACATGAAGAACTGTATTTAAAGGGCCAGAAGGCTGAGAACCACTGCTCTAAACCTTATAATGACTTAGATTTTGAAACTCAGACAAGAACTACGAAACTTGCTAATGTGAAACTTCAATGTCTGTTTGCAGACACTGAACCAGGGTTTGCTGTGCGCGTGAATGACGCAGTTGGACTTGACTGAAGCATTGGATGGAGCCGGGGTTCTCCTGCCTCTGAAGCTCCCTCCCCACAGCCGTTCAGGATCGCAGAGGCCACGAAGGCCCACAAGGCTGGACTCATCGGAAGCTGTGTGATTTACTGTTCACATATCAGGAAGCATATGTAAACCTAGGTGGATTTTAGACTGTAATAAAGACTTAAAAGCATTTATTTGCCCCAAAGGAGCTGCAGTTCAGGAGATGGGCGGGGGTAGCAACCTAAATTCTAATGTATCGAGACAAAGGGGAGGCCACCTTTTATAGTGAAACTTGACATTTTATATACATGAAAGATTTGAATCGTGAGTCTGATTGGTCAGTATAGATGCAAACAAAGATGCAAACTGTGCATTTCTGATTGGACAGAGCAGGTCTCAGTCCTTTATTCAAAAGACGAAAGACAAAACCAGGGATTCCCTGCAGTTGTTGGCTCAGACAGCGTAAATCCGCAGGGCGTAGTGGGGGAAGCAGAGAGTTCAGTCTGGGGTTCTTCCAGGGGTAGCGTGCAGGAGGCACCCATCAGCAAAGGGCTGCTAGACTCTTACTATCATAAAATGTGGGCCCTCACTTTACCACAGGGAGTTCATCAGGGCAGATAAATTCCTCCTCAGGGTTCACATCAAATGAATCTTTCTTCTTGGGATCCACACAAGCAGTTATTGTTCCTTGGCTGTAGAACTCTCCTACGGCCCTTCACCCCTCTCCCTTCGAGTGCTGGATTGCTTTTATTCTCCGCATCCTAACTTTCTCTGTTGGATGTCCTCTTCCTGAAAGGCATTGAGAAGTGGTAACTTACTAGTACACAAATGCATGTTTCTGTGTATATTCCAGCAAGGGGCAAAGAAAGGGGCAGAATCATTCTCGACAGGTCTAGAAAATGCCTGGCAAGAGAAGGACAGGCCTATGTTGTTGCTACTCCGTGCAAGGAATTCTCAATAAATATGATGCAGGGACCTGGGGCCTGGCTGGCTCTCATGGGAAAGGGCCCATAGAAACACGGGTGCCTCCATCTAGATGGCAAATCTTAAAGCAGAAGGTCCCGAGAGCTGCCAAGGTGACTGTCAAAGATGGGCAATTATGGAGCTTCATGTTTTCAGGGGAAAAGTTTATATCATCGGCCCCCAAGAAAGAATGTCCAGAGACAGACTCAGAGGAACAAAAGAAAGGCATAGAGAGGAAGCAGGGCCTGAAGCACAGATGTTGCTGTGGTCAGAGAGACAGGCCTGCTGGGCTCTGGGAAGGGGTGTTGAGCTGTGGACCCTGAAACCAGTCTGCGGAGTGCTTTCCAGAGACCCTGGATTTGCCTGTGGTGGAGGAAGTGACGGGTGGACTTAGACTCAGGCCCTGCTGGAGAGTCCAAAAATGCCTCCCCTTGCTTCTCTGACTAACCTGGCATGGCTAAGGCAGAAGTGTCCCTTTTCCTGACTAGCCTGCATGGTCAGCTGGTCCAAACACTGGCCCTCTCCTCCCCCAAATCAGTGTGCAACTTCCTGTCAATAATCACGTGTCTATTTTTTTAATCCTTGTATCAGACCAAATCTAATGACATAGGCAAGTATGCATGTAGAAAGCATTTCTAGACGATAGTTTTACTATAGACAATAGCAGTCTTACCTGGGCAACCAAGCAGATAAACTCACCTGTGGAAAGCCAATCTGGTGCGGTGCTCCTTTGTCTGCCACTTTGGGACGACTAATGGTCAAAGCGTACAAGAGCCATCTGTGTCTTCTAAAAGAGCAGGGGATCCTAATTGTGGGCATGGTTACCATGGAGCAGGCAGGTGAGGGAGTGCTTTGTTTAGCTCCTTGCTGTTCCATGTCCCCTGCTCTTCCTGAAACTGGGCTGATGGTGTTCCCATCAGCTGACCAAGAGAAGCTCACAGTCCAGACACCAGGTGAGATAGCCCAGGAAAACTGCCTGACAGTGACCTTCAGCTCTGCATTTTTCTTCCAATTTTCTGATGAACAATTACTGGCTTGAATTTAGTTTTATATATAAAAACAATTCTGTCTTCTTAGTGTTCTCCACCTAGAAACCTACACACAGTAAATAGAGGGAATTGGAGTCTGGTGTGAGGCTGGATGACCAGCCAGATAATTTTCAAAAGATGCAGATGTTTTTGTAAATGCCAGTAGGTGGCAGGCAGCATTGCAGGCCTGTAAAGACCCCAGGGACCAGAATAGGAGCAAGGGAAATGCACCATTAAAATCATGCAACTCCAAGGACTCCTGCTGCCTCCCAGTGTATGTCCCCACTTTGTGTAGACCCACAGATGGAAAACCTAATTGTGCATTTAGGGAATCAGATCCCTGGACCCCTTCCTCCTGGCCCCAATATGATAGCACTTTGCACTCTCAGATGCCTCCCTTGGAGTCCGTAATTAACAATGTCTTCTTTTAAAGTTGAGATTGTAGAGGTGTTTGTTAGTATAGTCCCACGAGCCTCACCAGCAGTTAGAGCAGGAGAGCTGGCTTTAGGCCCACCGGCTGGCTCTGCACCCACCTGTGTTCACTGAGAGTGTACGTGTGCTGTCCAGGAAGGGAGGACCGCCCCTCACTCCACACAGGCACACACACACACACACACCCTTCCTAGGTTCTCATGGTGCCACCTTAACCCCATAGGGTGACAGTATTTGGTTAGCACT